ATGCCTACACATTTTATACCACACAGAAAGTAGTAATATAAAATGAAATGCTCAAAAATTAATTTGTCTCCAGGTATTCCTCAGCCAGAACATGATTCCTTAGTTCCCCTCTCCTGACACTAGCTATTGATACAATCAGTTTACTCTCCTTGCATTCTATACATGGATGTTACATCAAAGGACTCTAAGTCAAGTCAAAGCTGATGCTTACAAATGGGAAGAATGATGAGCAAATGCTGAGTTTCCCTTGTTTTCATCCTAATTAGGAATTTATGCTTTCATAATTCTGGTTTACATATCCTAGTTCCCTACTGTAAAATGTTTGACCTAGGAAAATGAATGCTTGTGACAAGTACACGTTTCACTTAAACCTAGTAATAATTATTTTAGTCAAGAAAAAGCAGACTACCTAAAATTAATTTAATGCTATTTAATACATATAATCAGGGCCACACTTAAATCTCTATACTTTCTTACATAACTCATATTTTTACTTAATTGGAATATATCCTTGCCCTTGTCAGTTACCAAAACTTTTCTTTGAGCCTTTAGTATTTAAAAAATGCTAAAAACAAAATAGACTAACTATATATTAAGATGAAAAGACTTTCAGAAATTCCATATGTATAAAGTGAAGGGGCCAGGTGCAGTGGCTCATGTCTGTAATCCCAATTCTTTGGGAGTCTAAGGGGGTAGGATCATTTGAGGCCAGGAGTTTAAGGTTACAATGAGCTATCATCCCACCACTACATTCCAGCCCAGGTGACACAGTGAGACCCTGTCTCTAAAAACGAATTAAAAATTAAAAGAATAGGTGAAGGGTAAGCTTAAAAAAATACTGCCAATATCTGCAAATCCTCCAGCTCCTAAGAAAATTATGTTGGATTAATTCTTTATGTGCTGGTGTGACTATTACTCACATAATAAATGCTTCTTGATTGTGATGACATCACAGTATCACAAATATATCCCATGAATGAATATTAAGCCTCATAAAATGTATAGCCTATCTGTTTTATAACAATGTGCAGAAGGAGCAAATTGAGAAGGAAAGGAGCCTTGAAATCAGATTATTAGTAGCCTCAGTTTCTGTGCTGACTGCCAGTTTTTTGGATGTCATTTTCTTTGGCTTATGATATGGTTTGATATGTCCCCTCTGAATCTTAAATTGAAATGTGATTCCCAGTGTTGGCAGTGGGGCAAATTCCCCATGAATGGCTTGGTACCATCCTCGTGGTAATGAGTGAGTTCTCACTCCATGAGTTCATACCAGAGCTAGTTTTTAAAAAGAGCCTGGCACCCCTCTCCTCTCTCTTGTTTCCTTTCTATGTGATACAGGCTCCTCCTTTGCCCTCCACCATGACTGTAAGCTCCCTGAGGCTCTCACCAGAAGCAGATGCTGGCACCATTCTTCTTGTATAGCTTGCAGAACCAGTGAGCCAAATAAACCTCTCTTCTTCATAAATTACCAGCCACAGGTATCCTTCATAGCAACACAAACAAACTAACGCAGCTTATATCTTTTTTTTTTTTTTTTTTTTGAGTCAGAGTCTCGCTCTGTTGCCAGGCTGGAGTGCAGTGGCGGGGGATCTCGGCTCACTGCAACCTCCACCTCCCAGGTTCAAGCGATTCTCCTGCCTCAGCCTCCCCAGTAGCTGGGACTGCAGGTAAGTGCCACTACACTAGGCTAATTTTTGTATTTTTAGTAGAGATGGGGTTTCACCATGTTGGTCAGGATAGTCTCGATCTCTTGGCCTCCCAAAATACTGGGATTACAGGTGTGAGCCACCACTTATATCTTTTTTTTAATAGGATGACACTGATATGATTTTTGGAACCTCCTCCTGTTGCATGGCCAGAGTTATATTTAGGTGTAAGCTGGGGTACATGCTATTTTCCAGCTGTGGGGGCCCTCACACAGCCCCACACAGCCTCTCCCAGTCCTCACCAGAATCTACCTTCAGATTTTGGATGAAATACTTCACTCCTTCTTCAGTCATTTATACTTCTGAATTTGTGCTCTGGCACTATGTGGACCTATGTGTTTAGATTCCTGGTCAAGAAAAAACTGTACAGACCCTTACTACCAAAGGCAGGAAGAGGATAAATGAGGAACATTCTCCTTGGAAGAAGAGAGGGAAAGGGGAACAAAGAAAGGTAATATTCCCAGAAGATATCCGTGTCACCATTTTTCTTATTTACTTACTATCTCATTTCATTGTGCAAAAGGTTTGAACATATCCCACACACTCTTTCACCATCTTTTACTTAAATAACCTCCTTCCACCTTCTGTGCTTTCCCTCCAATAACACTGCCATCTTCTCTAATATGGCTATTTTTAAAATTGGCTTTGACTCATCCAGTGTCCTCATGCCTGGTGCATTCTGTTCTTTCACTTGTGGAACTCATGGATGTCATCCCTTAACCTCCAAGAAGGTTCCCTTCCTCCTCCCCTCTGGTTATCTAGGTCCCATCCAAATTTCATCCCTAACTTAGGACCCATCTTCTCCCCGAAGACTTGGGATGAATATTGAGGTTGATGTGCACGTGGTTACCACACTCTTTTTATTATTGTGATTATTATTGTTCTTAATATAGAGACGGGGTCTCGCTATGTTGCCCAGCTTGGTCTTGAAGTCCTGGGCTGAAGCAATCCACCTGCCTTGGCCTCCCAAAGTATTGGGATTACAGGCGTGAGCCACGGTGCCCGGCAGGTTATCATACTCTTTTAGCTGATATAATATTAATAGCATTAAATGTATTTGAACTGAAAATCTGTAATTGATGTTAGAATAACGTCTCTTTACAAATAATTGGTATGGGTCAGGTGTGGTGGCTCCTACCTGTAATCCCAGCACTTTAGACCAGCACTTTGGGAGCTGGAGGATCACCGGAATCCAGGAGTTTGAGACCAGCCTGAGAAAAAAAGCAAGGCCTCCATCTCTACAAAAAATTAAAAAATAGCCAGGAGTGATGATGTGTGTGTGTGTAGTCCCAGCTAATGGGGAAGCTGAGGTGGGAAAATCGCTTAAGCCCAGGAGTTCAAGGCGGCAATGGGTTGTGATCACCCTATTGGACTCCAGCCTGGGCAACAGTGACACCCTAACTCTAATTTTTTTTAATTAAAAAAGGATTGATATGTTTACTGTAAACCATTCCTACCTATTTACTAATATAGGTTTTCCAAAATAGTACCTTGAGCAAGTCTCTCTCTCTCTCTCCATGTGTGTGTATATATATATATATATATGTACATATATATATATATATATGGTAATTTCCATTCAGAAATAACACTCATTAGCTTGCATTACATCTGAAATCATGTCATTAGTTATTAATTGCTTTGATTAAAGTTTTTGTAGCATTATGAGATGCCTATTAAAATACAAATATCCCGGAGAGAGATAACACTCCAAGCTCATTATCAATGATTTACATCTTTTCAGGAATTATTGCAGGATTATCTATGAAATATCAAATCACTTTCCACCTGTGATGGTAAATAAGTAAATTCAGCCACATGAGGAAGCCCACTACATGACTACTTATGTGTCATGATATCAGGGCAATTAGAAGAGACTGCCTGCTACCCAAACTCCACCATCCCATCCCAAGTATTTTATTTTAAGTTTTAGCCAAAAGGGTTTTTGTATACTATTAAATACGATATTCCTGAAAGAGGTCACACATGAAGCCCATAATGTTATTTTTTGCATCTCTGAACAAAGGCATTTATCAGATTCTTCAAGATGCTGACCGAAACTCTTTACTGTTTAATGCTCTGAAATGTCTTCGATAATTACTAAGTCCTAAGACTTCAACCTTAATGTTTATCAAAATAATCATAAATTTCTGTGATTTGCTCTCATACGGTGTCCACACCTAGAATGGAATAGCCAGCTAACTAGTGGACATCCCCATCTACACTTCATACTCAAAATGCCCAGAATCAACACATGCTATTCCCTTCATACCTGCTTTTCATTTGCTATGGGTTTACTCAGCCACACAGTAGTAGTAACATCACTCAAGTAGCAACGTCAGGGGCATCTTTCTTCTCTTCCCCACAGTCAGTGTTTATATCCTGAAGATTCCAACTCAGTGATACCTCGCACTTGAAGGGGCTCTCATTCAGAGGCCCGTGTCTCATACAGACCTGCAGTTTTCCTCCCTGGACTCCCAAAAGAGCTTCTTACTCACAATCCCCAGCACTACTCCCCACTGACATCCCTCTCCCTAAAGCTCAGCTTCGACCGTATCATCGTCCAGTTTGAAAACTTGGATGTTCCCCATTGCTTATTAAATTCAGACCAAACTCATCTTGCTGTTCAGTATATATTATGATACACTGTATTATGTATTATCATACACTGTATTATGTAATATCCTACACTGTATTATCATACACAATATTAAGATACACTGTATTATGATACACGTCTACTTTCACGTACCCACTAGTAAAACCAGAACACTCACTCCCCTCAAAGATTTCTGTTGCTTTCCAGGCTACGTGCCTTTCCTCAGATTCTTTCCTCCACATTTCACTCATTCCCCATTTCCACCCTTTGAGAGCTACCTATCTTCAAGATCAACTTCAGTTTTACTTTCTTCACGAAGTCTTTCGGGCTCTCCCAGCTGGATGTGATCGTCTCACCGTGGAACTCCCATGGCGTCCGCTGTGCCCCGACTTACTAAATAGTACCATCATGTCTATGAGTGTCTTATGCTACCCACTATATCGACAAACCATAAGTCTAGGAACAGTGTCTTATTAATCTCTACTTCAACTGCAGTACCTAAATTCTCGCATATAAAATGCACATAATTATTGAAGTGCTTCTGAATGACTTTTGAAGGAGGATAAGAAAAAAAGTGGAGGAGTTCTGAAAGTGTGGCTATGCCAAGAAATTATATCATAGGCTCCTGGGGAGCAACTTTACACACTTTGTAATCTTGCATAAGACTGTGGCTTAGCACAAGCATCTTGCCAATGATGAAAATCTGTGTTGGGGGCAAGGTAGGCTGGTCCAGAGCACCAGCATCCACTTGGATAAAATCTAGTACTGGGGACTTTCAGGTAGGGGGGGCAACATGAAACCACTGAGTCCCAGGAATCTTGGTAGTATCTTCAGGTCCTGGAAGGCTGCGGGGAAGATGGCAGCTCTAGGCCAGAGGATTCTGGGAGGCAAATGAGGTAATAAAACTAACTGCCTGTTTCACCATTCTACATACACTAGATTAGACTAGCACTATTTTAGTCTTGTTTGGGTTCTAAATATACGTGAAACTATCAGTCAGTTGTTCAATCAATCTTTATATATTTATTGAGTGCTTTCAATATGCCAAGCACTTGCACTGTGCTAGGTGCTGAAGTGATGGCGGCTAACAAAAAAGACAAAAGTCCCTGCCCGTATGGACCTTACTTTCTACTGGAAGAAGAGAAATGATAAATTGAAGACATGCATAAAAGATTAGAAGGTGATCTTTTTTTTAATCCTCTGGATGAAAATCAAGCAGGCTATAAAGCTGAAATGTTAGAATTTCAATCATAGTGGTCAGGGCTTATTAAGAAGATGATAGTTGAGCAGGGATGTGGAAGACGTGAACATGTGTCTGTGCAGCCACCTGAGGAAAGAGCACCACAGGAAGAGGGCAGAGCCAGTGCAAATGTTCCAAGGGAAGCAAAGCCGGAGTGGCTGGAGTGGTTGGAGGCAGAGTGAGATCAGAGAAATAAAGAGAGACTTCTAGTCTTTGTAGGCTATGGCAAAAACGTGGCTTTCACTTTGGAATGAGGAGTTCCAGGAATAGCTTTGGCAAAAATTGACGCCATTGCTGTTGACCTGGGTTTGAACTGGAGAGAGGACCAAAGACGTAAGCAGGGAAACCAGTTAGGAGGCCATTGTAAGATCCTGGGCAGTAGATGATGATGAAAGTGTGGACCAGAATGGTGGTGGTAGAGATGATGAGAGGTGATCAACGTCAAGAAAAAATTTTAAAGGTAGCATCTTGAGGACTTCCTGATGTATTGGATAGAGGAGATGAAGGAAAAAAAGTCAAAGATGACTCTAAGGATTTTTGTCAGTGCAACTAGAAAAATACTACTGTTTATTAATGGAGACTATTAAAGGTGGCATAAGTTGGGAAAGCAGAAATAATTAGGGTTGAGTTTTGGATCTATAAAGCGTGTGATACCTATGAGGCATCTACATGTAGTCTGGAAGTCAGGAGAGAATCTGGGCTAGAGATATGAATTTGGGAGTCATCAGAATATAGATAGTATTTGAAGGCAAGAGACTAGATGAGATCACAAGAAAGGGCCATAGAGAAGAGCCAAGGTGCAAGGACTGAGCTTGAGGCACCCCAACATCCAGAGGTCTTAGAGAATGGGGGGAACCAGCAAAGGAGGCTGAGAGGGAACCACCAGTGAGGCAGGAGGCAAACCAGGTGGGTGTGTTGTCCCAGGAGCCAAGATACAGATGTTTGAAGGAGGAGGGGGTGGACAGCTGGGTCAAATGCTGCTTATGCATCAAGTTAGATAGAGGCAAAACGGCCTTTGGATTTAACAACCTGGAGGTCATTGGTGACACTGACAAGAACAGTTCAACGGAGTGATGGGATAAGAAAGCCTCAGAGGAAAAGGTCTGAGAATAGAAGAGGAATTGAAGAGACTGAGTACAGATGCTTCATCTTGTCATAAAAATGTGGTCTTTTCTTTGTTTTTGAGATGGAGTCTTGCTCTGTTGCACCCAGGCTGGAGTACAGTGGCACAATCTCGGCTCACTGCAACCTCTAGCTCCTGGGTTCAAATGATTATCCTGCCTCAGCCTCCTAAGTAGCTGGGAATAGAGGTGCCTGCCACCACACTCGGCCAATTTTTTGTATTTTCAGTAGAGACGGTGTTTCACCATGTTAGTCAGGCTGGTCTTGAACTCCTGACCTTAGGTCATCTGCCCACCTTGGCCTCCCAAAGTGCTGGGATTATAGGCATGAGCCACTGTGTCCGGCCAAAAATGGTCATTTTTTTAAGCCAGTAATTCAAACTTTCAATTAATCCAAATGGGCACTACGTCCACAACAATCTGAATAAACCAAATTTTACTTGTGAAATCTCCCTATCAGACAAACCACAAAAAGGTTTTGTGAAATGGGTTTCAGCAATTTTAAGTCTGGAAGTCTCTTTGTTAACTGAAGGAAAACAACCACTTCCTTCAGTAAATTTGCAGCTCAAAGTATTTTAAGTTTTATAATCAAACTTCTGTTTGGAACATCACACACACACACACACACACACACACGCACACACACACACACACACACACACACACACCAAAATCATGACGTCATAGTTCTCAATTGAATATTGTACCTCATTATAAATAACATTTACTCATTCCTAATATTTCACTATTGATTTATAGTTTTTTTTTTTCATGTCATAGCTACCACATACTCACCTTAAATTTGTAATGAGGTTTCTCATTCCATAGACATTTGACTGCCTTTTGTACTTGTAGACACAGGCTCATGTTGTCAACAGTTGGGCAATGGATCTCAGAAAACATTAAGCTTGGGATTAAAAGCAGGGCAGAGAAAGCTGTCAGTAAAACATGCTAACCTAATGTATCTGACGAGGACAGGGTCTATTCATATCCAGAACTGCAAGGATGCTGTGAAGTACAATGACTTGAAACTTGTGATATCATTTTGTTGTAACATTAAAGCCAAGAGTCTTCTTGACCCAAGGGCAGTGCCAGTTTCCCAGAAGGCTCATTTCTCAGAGCCACAGCTCCAAAGATGCCAGTGCACCCAGGCTGATACTTAGTCTCATGTTATTTCTCAATTTTATGCTTAATTTGCTCCTTTTGGTTTTATGTATTTTGACACAGCCAAGTGTATGAGGGGATTTCCCCACAGTCCTTTAAATGCTATAAAACTTTAATACAGGAAGATAAAAGCCATAATAAGCCATGCCTTCAAGCCCTCACATTTAGTTCTTTATTTGAGTTTGACAATAGCCAGTTTTAGATACTGATTTGGATTTGTAAGTACTTGCACTGCTTTAAATGCCCTTGTGCCCTTCCTGACCCTCCTCTCCCACCCAAATGAAAATTATATTCCACCCTTAACCTGGACATGCAACTTCCATGGACTGCACAAAATGACATCTTTACAATTCTTAAATTATCATCATAATGGCCAACATCATGCATGTGAGCCAATGAAATTTAATACGGTTCAGAATAAAGCCAAGATGGATGCCCAATTCCCAATTTTAGGCATCCAACCCTGGAACGTCTTTGGGAAAAAATGAAATAATGCTCCTAGTAGGCTGTTGGGTTTGTCTGTTTTCGGCATAATTGCCATCTCTCAGCTTCCTAATACCCTTAAAAACCTCTGAGAGTCTTTAATGTACAAAGTTCAACAAAAACACCTTTAAAAAAGATTAGTTCTAATTATGTTTAATATTGGTTTGGTGCTTTATTGAATAAACTACATTTGCTTAAAAAAAAAAAAAAAGGAATTTCACTTAACTGCATGTCAGTCACCCAAGTTTTAAGTGTACAAATGAAATGGAAACATTTATTACACAAATTTAATTACAATTCTAAGAAATAAACATGCAAATTAGATAGAGTTCAATTTGCAGATGGTAATCTCCATCCTTGATCTTGTTCCTTCCTCCCTTGATTTTCAGTCTGTGCGGCTTCTTGATTCCTAGGGAGCCAGGCAGCCAGAGGTTTGGTTTTTCACAGTCGGAGGATCACTGTTTTAAAGAAGTGTTATATTTAGCACATCTGGCATAGTGGCAGTAAACAAACATTATAGTCTTTGTAACACTTTTGTGCAGGTGCCTTCCCCCGATTTTATTAGGTCTATGCCTTCCAAGCCTCTGCCTTCATTACACCTGAAATGACCCATCTCGACTATGGAGGGGTCCCTAGACAGAAGTTATGAATTAATGTTTTTTAAAAACAAACTCTAAGCCCATTATAGGAGAAAATTGCTATTTGCAAAGTATTCTGATTCCAAGGCTTAAATTACATTCTCCTGAGCAAGGACAATCTCTTATATTACTTTTTATTTCCTGGAGGTTTTCCCTGGAGGCTCCCCACCCAGAAAGAGTTGCCAATTCAAGTTGTAGCAGGACCATGGCTGCTTTTTTTTGTACGTACGCAGCTCAGGCGGGGGCGGGCGGCGAGGGGAGAATAACTGTTTGGTCCTGCAAAGACATCTGTTTCTCATCTCCGTTTGCTGTGGCAAAGGAGAAGAAAGTCTTTTGCAAAGGGTGGGAAAGGCACAGATTTTTTTTTTAATCACACGCACACACAACAACAACAAAACTAAACCAAATTTAAAAAGACAAGACATCTCGGAAGGTTGCAGAGTGAATATATTATTCGGCTGGAGCCGAGACCCCAGGGTTAGGGCGGGAGCCCGAGAGCGCGTGGGGTCTGGGCTGCGGGCTGGAGCTGGGCCCGCGTGTGCCCGGGCACCGGGAGGGGAGGGGAGGAGAAGGAGGAGGGAGGGCGGGAAGGAGGGAAGGAGGCAGGGGGCGGGCTGGGGTGGGGGTGCGGGAAAGGCGCCCCGTGTGCAGCCTGAGGAGCGGTGGCGGCGGCGGGAGCAGAGGGAGGGAGGGAGAGCGGGCGCGCTTGTCATGTTCCCTCTCTCACCCTGGGGGCATCCTGCAGAACCTCTCCTCGGAAATCCACGGGGAAATGGCAAACAGGATTGACGGGTTTCACACGCTCCTCGCTAGACAGAGCCGCTCATTACCATAACCGTCTGCAGCGACGGCGGCGCAGCGCCCCAGTCGCGGCGGCGGGACCTGCCGGGACCCTCGCCAGCCGCACAACCGCGGTCACCGCCGAGCGGGCCGCCGGGCCGGGACCGGGACCTGCGCGAGTGTGCATCGGCGGCCGGGCTGGCGCCGAGCCCAGAGCGGACCAGCAGCAGCTGGAGTGCTGCGGCCGCCGCCTCCTCGCTGACCCCGCGGTAAGACCCGGGCTGGGCGCGGGCCGCGGGGGCGGGAGGGCCGGGCCGGGTGGAGGGCGCGGGTCCCCCGGGGCTCCTGCCCGCGCAGACGGGCACCCACGCGGCCTCCCGCGCGCCCTCCCGGCACCAGGGCTGTGCCGAGGTCACCGAGTGGACTCGCAGCGGGGCCGGGGCGGCGTAGGGGCCAAAGCACAGCTGGGCGCTGAGGCGGCGCGGGCTTTTCCCGGGGCTGGCGTGCGCCGCGGCGCCTTCACCAGGGCGGGAACCGCCGCCTCCTCTAGGGCTGCTCGGGCTGCCACCCGCGCGCACCGAGACAACTCCAGGGGCGGGTGGGGTCAGCAGCTCTGGTGAGACCTCAGGGTCCTCGGTGGCCGCTTAGCCCCTCATCCTCGGGGACCGGGGTCATTAGGAGGGGTGCCCCCAGGTCCGGACGCCGCGGCGCTTGGCAGGTGGGGAGGGAAGGATTGTGGATGTCAGGAGCGCGCGTTTGCAAGAAAAAGGAATTGATGCAGTAGCTGACACCTTCTGTCCCCCGCCACCTCCGCCCCCGCACCCTCCTCCCCGGCAGCCAAGCCGCGCTGCGGGCGGCGGCGGCTCCTCTGTCCTCAGCTCACCTCCCCGGCGGGCTGAGGCTGCTGCCCGCCTGGTCCACGCCTCCGCCTCTCTCCTCCCTTCCTCCCCTCCCGCCTCTTCGGCCCTAGCAACTTTCCGAGTGCCCGGCTGCGGCCGCAGAAGCAGGGAAGAGGCCTCCTCGCTGCCAGGTCCCACCGGCGCAGGGCGCTCCGGCAGCCGCGGGCTTCCAGCCTGTTTGGCTGGGGAGGGAGGGAGGGCCGCGCCGGCTTCTGCTGCGGGCTGGAGCGCGGGGGCTCGGGCCAGCCCCGCCAGAGCCCTGCCAGCCGCCGTGAGTCATTTCCTTGGAATCCTACCTTTGGTGTTTATTTCCCTTAGAAGGAAACTTGGCTGAAAAAAAAAAAAAAGGGTAAGACATAAAGAATAATAATAGCTCTTATTCTTCAGAAGAGGCACACGGCTCCGGCACCGTAGGAAGACAACTTGCCTTTGTTCCCGGACACTTGGGGTGTTGTTTACTTTCTCCTGTGGCCGGTGGCCGGCGGGCGCTGCTGGCTACCCCAGGAGGGGCTGGGGGCTGCGGCACCGACCCCCCGGGGGTGTGTCTGTGCGGGAGCCAGGATGTGGTTGGTGGCTGCCGTCCGCCTTCAAGAGGTCTGCCCTCCAAACCTCGGACCGCCCCCCAACCTTGGGCATCCCTTCATGCTCCTATAGGCCCAGCACCTGCAGCCCCAACCACAAGACCCAGCTTCAAGCTCTTGGCCTCGCGGGGCTGCAGCTGAGAAATGTACTTCCCAGGGCAGACAGGTGTACTGCAGGGACCGGCAGAAAAGCGACATCTGTCTGTTTAGAAGGGTTGAAGGATTTTGCTCGCCCATCTAGGCCCTTCCACTACTACCACCAGGAGCCGGAGAAACTGTTGAGATCACTTTAGGACAATGTGGAGGTCAGGGGCTTGATGCCATTTAAGGCTGGCAGCATGGATCGGGGGTGGAAATAGCCCTTTACTTCCCTGCTTTCCAGTTTCCAGTCTATCAGACTGCTAACTGCTATAATCTTAATCAAATGTTCTCCAATTTTCAATGACAGATGGAAGAAGAGGTGGGCAAAGAATGACCTGGAGCCCCTTGTTAGAGTCAAGGTGCCGCTGATTTCATAGCTACCCTGTTTTATGTGTCAGCATCTCCTGTTAGCATATAATTGCTTCGAGGAAAGAACAAGCCCAACTCATCTGGAAAAACCAAATTGTATAGAAATGTCTGGTAACTTTAGTATGAACATTTGCTGGAAAAGCTTGACATTCTAGCCCTCAGTCTTCTGGGGAGGCTGGACATGTCATTCCACTACATCCACCTGAGTGACAGAACAGACATGTAGGAGCCTGAGAATGAGGGGTTAGGGCTTTTTTTTTTTTAATCTTTTAAACCCATGCAGAGACAAAACACACTCTGACACCTGCCTGTTGAATCCGTCACCTCCAATCGTAGGAAATAAATTTTGCCACAATGTATATCTTTTGTCTTTATTTAATATTAATAGAACATGAATTTGTGGACTTGAACTGCTGATGTCAGTAGCAGAATTATAATGTAAATCTCATCATACAGAGAATTATGACAGTTTACATCTCTACATGTAATACGAAGAAAGATTCATGTTAAGCATTTGTGCTTACCGCTGCACGGTCCAATTTTTCGTGAACATTGAATTTGCCTTCTTAATTTGTTAACAGCTAGTGTAAGTTCTAAATAGACTAGGAAGACTCAATTGCAAAATCTCCCTGCTTCCAAATAATCCCAACTCATTCATGATTTATTCAGATTTACATAAATCACTTGCAGAACTCAGTCTCTCTAGTTTAGGATTTTGTGTGTGACAGTTCTCAATTTAAAAAAGAAAAACTTTCTAAAATTAGATATTAAAATTGAGACATTGTAAAACAAAAAAATAGCCAAGATAAAAACTGTTATGCCATGTTTCAAGTTCAAACACATAGTAGGATCTCATATGGTGGAAATAATACTAACAAATAGAAACACTGAAATCCCCAGCAACCAAAAACGCTACTACCAAAAAGTCATTAAAATATAAACAAACTCTGAAGAACATAAAACAGCACAGGGCCCATATAATGTCCTATTAAACAAAAGTAATTGCTGCAAATGCTTTTCTTTCTTAAGGGGCATGAGTTTGTTAACCTGGTTTTGTTTACATGAAATAAAATTCTGTATAGGCAAAAGGCTTGGATCTTATTTCCATGATCTAACACGAAAGTGAGTGTAAAACTTCAAGCTAGAAAATGTTGATTCTCTCAGTAAGAAAGGACTACTGACTGTTGAAATGCTACAATTCCTGTGCTCCTGGCAACAGCATTTCCTGACACGATTGTCTCTTAGAATAGGTTAAAAAACTGGACCATTTCATGAGAGTCTTCCAGGGAATAAATCATCATGAAGTTTGATACCCTACTTGGGGAGTTTGAGAAGTGATGATAGACAGAAGGGCTTAATTTGTTATATCGATGTAGGCTAAATTGCTTTGTTGATGACTCAAAGAGAAAAATAAATGTCGTGTCCCATCATTTCTTTATAAAGATTTAATTGAACCTTTCTTTTCCCCACTTGTAAAAGGTTTACTAATAAGTCCTTACTGATGTCTCTTTGGAGGGCATCTTAAAAGAGAAGGGGGAGGTGGTTTAGCAGCCCAAATCAGCTGAGTCCTAATTCTCTCCACTGACCTGTACACATTCCCTGTCTGTCAGAAGGTCTTACTTCATTATTCAGTGTGGTTGGGACAGAATTTGAGACCTCAGAGAGAAGACTGGGTGAAAGGTAGACTCATCGCTGCCAAGAGCTCCTCTTTAAGTCAGAAGGACATTGTCACTTTAATGATGCTATTTCGCCTTACCCTGGTGTGTTTCCTTCTTTTTCTTGGAAGTGGACCCTTGTTATATCATGTAGGAGTAGTCTCCCATGAGACAATGATAGATTCACTCTTTCCCAAAAACATTACCAGCTGTATAATTTGGAAAAGAAAGCAAGAATTGGGCCCTTAGTTTATATTTGAAAGACAGTCAATCTTCAGAAAGCGAGCCTGACATCACTTGTATGACAGTTCTTGAAACCACAAAGTGGGATAGTGGGGGCTTGGGTCTCCTAAAGGGATTGGCAGTTAACAAGGCACTGAGGCTGTGCTACTGTCACCAGTGGTCTATGGCCCTAGGTCTTTTTACTTTCATATCAGCCTCTCTTTTTCCTTGAACTCACTCTTGACCCTACCTTGAGACCTGCATAGGACCAAGTGAAGACACAGAGCCCCCATGAAAGCGGCCTCACTGCCTAAGCTATGGAGGGGCCCAGGAGGCCTAACAGCAGAGAGGCTCCCATCTCCCTGCAGGCCCAAGGGAGCGAAGGGCGTGAACTGGAGAGAAGGGCAGTGATGTGTTGCCTCTTGGAAAGTTCCTGCTCTGTGTCTGAGCTTTGCAGTGTAAAGAGTTGCTGGCTGCCTCTGGCCCCAGACCCTGGCTCCTGTTTAATATTCTGCCTGCTCCGTTGATGTTGTGCTTGGCTCCTGTGGGACTGCAACTCACGGCTTGAAACTGGAGCCAATTTTCTGTCTTCATCTCGCAGTGTTTTGACTGGAGGCAGATCCAGTTCAGGCCGATCAGGGCTGGTGGAAACAACTACCAAGTGTCTCTCTGTCTGCTTTGCTTTGGGAGAAGAAAGTGGAGGGATCCCCAGCATGTTGTAGAGGAACTGGCCTGCGGAAACGAGAGGAGGAGGGTGCAGGGGGCAGCGGAACAGACTGAACCTCAGAGCATCAGTCGGAATGACGGTGGAGATTTCTGCTTCCCCTGCCCTTTTCTTTTGATTGATTAGTGGATTTCATCAAAGGAGGCTCCCGGGGGATTGACTAGAAAATTGATTTTGCCTTATTAATAGAAAGGAAGCGCAAGGGTTTTGGCTTCTTAGCGGTACATTTTCTTTGGAAGGTCAGAAGGAAAATGTGTTTCGGAGGCAAAGCAGCTGTCTGGAAGAGGGCTGAGGGGAATCTGAGAACAATAAGAAATGGGGTTTTAAAGATCCGCCCATGAAATGCAGATTGCTGAACGCAGAGGCTGAGCTAATAGCAGCAAGAGTTTGCCGAGGTTTTCTTTGAAAAAATAATAAAATGTTTCAGGGTGAAGGGGAGGGGCAAGAAGTAAAAGTTTCCCAAAGCAAAGAAATGAAGATGCCAAGGCCATCCCTTGGCTGGCTCTTGATTAGGGCTGTTTTCTTCATTCTTTCTTTTTTTTTTTTTTTTCTTTTCAGATCTGAGGCTGTCAGAGATGACTCTGGTTCTGTCCATGAATAGATTCTGCGAGCGCATTGTCTCGGAAGGAGCTGCTGAAATTGCTGGGTACCAAACGCTGTGGGAGGCTGATAGCTACGGAGGCCCAAGCCCCCCAGGGCCAGCACAGGCTCCTTTGCAGGGAGACCGGGGAGCTGGTCCCCCGCTGGCAGGTATTGCCCTTGATTCCCTCCCCCCACCCCGCCCCTCGCTGCCCTCTGCAGCCAGCCTGGTGGACAGGAAATGGTGTCTCGGGTGCCCTTCTGAGCCAGGAGAGCTAAAGCTCCAAGGACTTCCCGGGCTGCCTGTGTGTCTCTCATAAGTGAGTCCAGAGCTCTAGAGAGAGGACCAGAGGTGATATTTAAATTGCATTTAAACCTGTGTCTACCCGTGCTGCTGCTTGCATATAAGTCATGTGTCTATATTACTAAGAGGGCCAAACTAGATATTGAAACTCTGAGTTTGGGTTTTGGTTTTCCACCCTGTGGAACTGGATGGTTTTCTCACGACTATGAAAGCTCCGGTGGGCTCAACAATGACACCAAGCAACTATGGGCCAGCAACTATGTGCCTCTTTTTAACCCATTTATGCCCAGTGTTCCATTATTGGAACGCTAAACTTGAGGGAGTTATTTATACCCTACTGCTCAAGGTCATCACCAAAGTCTGACGTTTCACACAAAAAATTTTGCAATCTCTGACATAAATGGGTTAAGGACACAATTGGCTTTGGGATTGTAGGGAAAAAAATTAAAGCCAAGAAAATAAAAATATGTTCTTCTTGATTCTTCTTATGGTTTAAGTTCCTTTGGATTTCTGTGCAGTACTACCTATTTTTTAAAAGAAACTAATATATAAAACAAGTACTCAGTGAAGTTTGTTTTGCTAAAAAAGATTGAAAGCTGTGGTCTTCATGGTTGACACACTACATCTTGGAGAATGAAAAGAACATTGGTTACTCAAAATTTTTATTCAAAATTTAAAAATTTGAATTTTGTATTTTGAACAAAACGAATGTTATAATTCCAATGTGCAGATAACCATTTGTTTACTAACCTAAAGCAAATAGTATTTTCAAGTTGTTTGGTTATCAGTGGTTAAAGATGCATACATTTGAACAGAGGTGCTATGTTATCATGGATTTAATTAAACCATTTAAATAAATACTAATATATTTCAGAGTAATTATACTCCTCCCCTTTATGAATGTTGCAGTTTCCTTTTGCATAAAATTAAGATTCTGTGTATTTAGTAAATGCTAAATATGTCATTTTCCTCTATAATTGCCTAGAAATCTTTTCCTAGCCTGGGTCACAGGATTCCATATGATAGCAACTATTAAGACAAATGTTTATTTTTAATCACCACATGTACAGACAAATACGTAGCCAAGTTATCCTCTAGAAGGAAAGGAAACGAAAGTATTTTGTTTGGAGAACCTCTGGCAAACCGCATGTCATTTGTCATATCTGATTTATTACCACAGGATCACATTACAGGGGAATTTCAAATCCTATAACAACATCCAAGATCACATACTTTAAGAGGAAGTATGTGGAAGAAGAGGATTTTCACCCACCACTCAGCAGCTGTAGCCATAAAGTATGTTTTTTTAATAGTCATTATTTTTATTAAGAATTTAAGATACTTAGTAACAGTTGCTTGATCCACTTCCAGAAATTAAATTGTTTCACCCAAGCAATGAAAATGAGCCACTTCTCAGTGGAGCCTCATTAATTGTTGTCACTTTTTTG